CCTTACGTGACGATGTCTGAGATTGCTTTACTGTTTGTTACGCTATAATTTAAAATATCATGCCCCGATTCTAGAAGAAATATCCAGAAGATATCAAGGTTATATTTTTGTTGTATTTTAATTGATACGTTCAAAATTCTTGGAAAGAAAAATCATTTTGGATTTACATAATGTTTTCAGTTCGAATTTCCTCAAAATGAAAAGGAAATGATGCTATGTAACAGTAATTGTGTAAAGTTATCAACCACAACGAAATTTTTGAAATGTCTTCTGGCTTCCAACCTTGAGTTAATTTGACATTTTTGGAGAAATCCAAATTTAATTTTGCATTTGTAGATAAAAATAATTATCTATTCCATTTTATATTTTGCTACTCTGCAACATTTGCATATATCCTTTATCATGTCAGATACAAAGAATAGTATCATTTGGATCATCAGTAAAAATATTTTCATACTTTTACAGAATCACGTAAAGGATGTTTTCCTTCAGACAATTACTTCCTTTGCGTCATGCAGTCAGGGGTGTGAGAAGGTGCGCCCAAGGATTTCCTCACCTTGAGAAATGGCAGCAGCATATTCAACCCAATATCATTTCGTGTTCTATATCTACAGAGGTTGATAAAAGTAGTTCTGATAAAATCAAGGCTTCAGAATCGTTTAAAAAAGAATCCATCAAAAAAGAGGAAACTGACAGCGTTCCTGCAACATTGGATGGAAACACATCAACTTCATCCCATGAATTTGAGGGAGATCCCACATTCCTGTGCATTTTACATGTACTTGAAAGTAACAAAACAGGAGGAAAAGCTGAAGCAACTGAATTATATGACACAATTTTAGAGGCACATAAGACAGAAGATAAACACAAACATCTTGAAGTTTTCCTTAACATTCTGAAAGGTCTCAACTTGAAAGGAGGAGCCAGTAGTTCTAAGCAAGTACAGATTCTGCTTTATTGTAAGGAAATCAAAGGGCTGTTTGCTAGCATCCTAAATGCTTTTACAATTTACACTGAACATGAATTGCTGAACATTCTAGCCTTAAATAGGAAATTTCGATTTTTAAGTTTTAGTCAGGAAAAAGCTGTGTGGGAAAATATACTTAATCATTTAAACAAACTCAGTATTTTAACTTCAGTTGGATTGTATGATATGTCCAAAAAAAGCAAAGCATGTCCTGATGCTAGGGAAAAGATTATCAGGAACATTTCGAGGCGGTGGATGGAGGTCGAGAAGGGTGCCGAAATCATATCGTTGATGAATATAATGTTACAAGAAAGTAAGAGGACATCAGACACTTCAATGCTTGACAATCTGGAGGAGAAAGCTCTACAAAAAGTGCAAACATTTAGTTTGGATGAAAACATCAAAACCTTGCAGACCTTGTCCAAAGGCCAAAGAAGAAACTTACCTCTAATAAAATCCCTGGCCTACTGCATTAAAGAGAAAATGACCGACACTGTTTCCCTCAGTTCATTGGCATCTGTCATGACAAGTCTAAGTGTTCTGAACATTCAGGACTCTACCATGCTAGGGCTTTTGTCAGACAGAGTTTCTAAGGTGTCATGGGAGTTGAGAGATGATTGGACAGTACAGAATTTAAAGGACCTCTCCTCTGTCCTCATGTCCTGTGCACACCTGAGGTGGTTGAAGCCTCCTCTGGACAAAACCTTTTTGTCACAATTCCCCAAATTTCAAGAACATTTGTCCCCAAGTCAGCTATGTCATGCAATATATAGCATGAGTAAACTTCAGTGTTTCACAGGCCAAGAAAAAGATGTGATAATGCAAATGGTGGAACAGTTGAGAACAACAAGCATAATAGAAGAAAATCCCAAGCTGTGGCTCAATATGGTACTGGCGCTAGGCTGGAGTGACTTCTCTGACGAAGGCCTTCTGTCTACAGTGCTTCAGCAGAATTTTGTAAATATCATACAAGGTAATCAAATGTTTATACTTGTAAAAGGCATACATGTATTATGATCATTAAATACCCAGCATACGAGGGTTGTCCCGTAAAATCGTGGACAAAGCGTTTTACTCGAAAAGTAATGGGCGCACTAAGCTGAAATTTCAGTAAATGTTTATTTATCATATTTAAATGCATGATATTTTTTTTGGTTAAAATATAGGCAAAAATAAAGATTTTATTATGCTTGAATGTGCACGGGGTATTGTTCTACGGCGCACGGACAAAAAACCAAGGTTTTATTAAAGAATACACAAGTTTGAATTCAAAATAAAAGTTTTTAATACATAAGATTTGGATTAAAATTATACTTATTTAATTCCACAATCAATTTTGTAGTCTTTGTAAAAATTTTATGGCATTTGGTTAATTTTTGGCAGTTTCTCGAGCATTCGAAATGGGAAGTGGGAAACACAACACACGAAAAATGGAGACGTTTTTATGACGTTACGGCGCACCGGAGAGCAGTTTCGTTTTAATTCGATGTTGTAATGACACATTTAGAGACTTGAAATGACCATAGAAGAAAA